CGGCCTCTGCCCTTCCCCAGCCTCCTCTACAACCTCAGGAGCCACACTTCCACTCCCTGTCAGCTGTTCCTCCTCTCTCTGAGTCAGTCTCCACCAGGGGCATGACACTACTATAGTATTGCTCTAAATCAACCCTTTTCAGTATAGGGATGAATGGAATAGTTCACAAAGATATATTTCAGAGACTGAAGCAAACCACAGTCTCTTTTCAAGCCAAGTTTAAAAAATGTTGGTATAAGACACACACACACACACACATATGCAAACCCTGGATATTAATCTAGCAGGGTACCCGTGCTTCGCTACGAAATTATGTGATCGTACAAGTTTTTTGGGAGGAAAATAAGGGGGGGAAATTGTGCCTCTGCCTACCAGCATCCATTGGTATTCATCTGGCTAGCATCCTGTCAATGTGTGAGAGTTGAGGGGTGTTTGGAAACTCAAACAGTATTTGCTGTGTGAGCAAGAAAAAAACAGCAAGGAGCCTGGGCGTGGCTTAGCTCAACTATTCTGTAGTAAAAGTGCTTGCTTCTGTGAAAGTAACACTGGAACTGAAACTCCTCTCCTCTGCTTGTGTTTTGCATTTGGAAGAGATTTCTTTTCAGGTGGGGAAGGGGAGTAGAACTCCTTAGCATCAGAGCATGTTAATAATATAGGAAATACTAATGCTCATCTGATGGTCATTTTGAAAAATCCTTTCTTAGTGAGCACCTAGAAGCAGAGACGAACATACGTGCCAAATTTCCAAGTTTGTAGGCTTTAAGGTTCTGGAGATTTTGTGATGATGTGTGAGTGGTATTTCGCTTTTATATAGATTCCACAACGGATGTCCCTCTCATTGTCATCATCACCAACAAAGTATATCTGGAGAAATGAAGGCTGTTGCTGAGGCCCGCCATGATACTCTCTATCCTGTGGTAGACCTGCCCCTGCACTTTGAATGTTGGCATAAAATAAAAAATAGTACGAAAGTATCATGAGAAACTATATGATCAAGAGAACATTGAAGAAGAAAAAGTTAAACAATACTTGCAAAAAGCAGAGCTACCCCAAATACCTGAGGAAACTAAGTTGTTAGAAGAGAAAATAACAATGAGGCGATAAACAGACAAAACACTGGAAAAGCACCGGGCCCAGATGGGCTACCAGTAGAATTTTACAAGACTTTGCAGGAATCCTTAAACACTACAATGCTTGAAGTATTGAGGTTTTTCAAAAACTTTGATAAAGAACCTTCTAAATTAGGTAAAATCTTAACAAGTACTAAAGATAGGACAATCAAAAAATTATAGTTATTTTTTAGGAGTGAAATTAGAAGAACAAGTTAAAAAAACGATGATTGCATGGGGGAAAATTTTGGATAAAGATAGATCTAGAAAAATGGCAGAAATTATGGACTAGAAACTATAAATTAACAATGTCAACAGCATATAAAGAGAATTTATATAAGATTTTTTACAGGTGGCATCTACCCTGGCAAGAATAGCAAAGATGTTCAAGGATAAATCGGCGAAGTGTTGGAAATTGTCATCAGATACCTGGATCATATTACCATATGTGGTGGACATGTGCGGAAGCTAAAAGATATTGGACTAAAATACACACATGCAGGGGTGGGATCCGACCGGTGTAACTACCGGTTCGGTGATTTTACATTTTGCGTGCGCATTTGCGCTTCATGCACTGTGCGCGCGTGTATATCAGCTAGCTGCCTGGACAGCTGAGCAGCACTGCGCACGGGTGCGCAGCGGTTGAAAAAGCACTTTTTCCTGCTTTTTCAACCGCAGCTGTGTCACACAAAGCAGCTGTGGCTGAAAAAGCAGGAAATAAAGGTCAGGTAAGAGCCCGGGCGGGTGGGCCAAAACAGCAGCAGGCATAGAACCGGTTCTATGTATGCTCTCTGTCTACTGCTCTTCAGAGCAACTACAGAGGTGGACAGAACCGGTAGAATCCCACCCCTGCACACATGGTTGGAAAAAATGACAAAACGGCATATAGATTTTAAAACCAGAGACATTATTGGGAATCTTACCTGAAGGTTACAAAAGAGAATTGACATACCTGATTAATGTTTTAACTGCAGCCACAATTGTATTTGCTCAAAATTGGAAAAACAAGAAAATTCCAATGGAGGAGGAAGTGATTAAAAAAATAATGGAATGTGCAGAAATGTGTAGATTAACATTAGAAATTAGAGAGCAAAAAGAAAAAGAATATAAGATATGGCATTTATTCTATCCATGGTTAGAAAAGTAGGAAATCAAAGTATAATACAACAGCAATATGTTACAACTGATTATTTTTGAATAAACTATAACACGAATAAAAATTAGTAAGAATTGAGATTTGCTTTAAAGGATATGGAATTGAAATTCAAGTCTAATAATGGCATAATATGATATAGAAAGTTAATCAATGCAATATGGATGTAAATTTAAGAGGAAAAGACTATATCGTGCACAAGATACATGTACCAACGACACACTTTATAACTGAAAGGTTTTATTTGTTTTATGTTTATGTTTGTTAAAAATAAAAAACCTTTTATACAAAAAAAATGTTGGCATAAAATTTCCCTCCTTCAACTCTCTGGCTCCAAAAGACGTCATTTGGAAGCATCAGTTGTACTTCCAGACAGCAGAAAGAAAGTGGTTTGCCATTGGATGCTGGTGGGTGAGAAGGCTGTGTAAGGGTTCAGGGTAGGGCTGAAGGGGAGAGAGGTGGACTTTAGCACCACTGCAGCACATCCCGGGACTCTCATCCTGCCACTTTAGAGCACTGCACTAGGTAACCAAGGTCTGAGATCAACCTTTTCCCTGGAATAATGAATCTGAGGTTCATATTGAAAACCAGAAAAATATTTATTAGTCTAAGGCATTGATCTCATTTGTGACTGATTAATATAGGGGTTATTAAATGCATAGTTTTTACAGCCTGTCTACTGACTTGGGGATAAGTTAGACTATACTTGTGTGTAGCTTCCCTTACTTGTGTTTTCCTAATGGCATCTGTAAACCTTTGTGTTTTTTGCCTCTTTTCCCTTTAACTGGTGTTACAGTAGAAGGAACTGATTTGTCTGAACTGAGGAGGAAAATAGGGGGGGGGGGGGGGGAATCTGCCTCTGCCTACCAGCATCCATTGGTATTCACCTGGCTAGCATCCTGTCAGTGTGTGAGTTGAGGGGTGTTTGGAAACTCAAACAGTATTTGCTGTGTGAGGAAGAAGGAGACAGCAAGGAGCCTGGACATGGCTTAGCTCAACTATTCTGTAGTAAAAGTGCTTGCTTCTGTGAAAGTAACACTGGAACTGAAACTCCTCTCCTCTGCTTGTGTTTTGCATTTGGAAGAGATTTCTTTTCAGGTGGGGAAGGGGAGTAGAACTCCTTAGCATCAAAGCATGTTAATAATATAGGAAATACTAATGCTCATCTGATGGTCATTTTGAAAAATCCTTTCTTAATGAGCACCTAGAAGCAGAGAGGAACATACGTGCCAAATTTCAAGTTTGTAGGCTTTAAGGTTGTAGAGATTTTGTGATGACACACGGGTGCTTTTTCACTTTTATATAGATTCAACTCTATGAAAAACACCACAAAAACAAGAGAAGGGGGAATCGACAAAAATGGAAGAGCAGAAAAAGTACAGAAAATGGGGGACAGTTCACAGGCAGAACAAGAGAATAGTTAGACTAGGGAAGGAGGCAGAAAAAGCTGAAACCTAGGTCTGGTTATGAGCTTAAATGCCCGTTCCAAACAACCTCCTGCTGTTTGCCTTTAGTTGACTATACATGCCGCTTTTCCCACATGGCTCGCCCCGAAGGCCCAACCTATCCATCTCCATGCATGGCAGCGCAGTGAGTCCAAGCCGCCCCCCCTTCATTTTCCCTCCCACGATTGGATGGAGCAACTCCCGAGAGCTTTACCATTGGCTACTTCATTCTTGCCCACCCCCTGCTAAAGAGAAAAGAAAAAGCCTTCGTTAGCCTGAGCCCCTCTATGGCGGCTGGGCCTGCTCTGATATGCATCTTTTCACACAGGAAATATTGTACTTTCGCAAACCCCACCCAAATTCAGCTCAACAGTTATGTTTTCCCTTACCAGGTTCTCGATGGCTGCCTGTTCCAGGAACTTCTGAGCTGCTTCAAGCTCGGTGCAGTCTGCAGAAGACCCAGGGGGAGGTAGAGAAAAATACACCAAGGAGTATCAGTGAGGACCCCAAAGCTGAGTTTCAGTCCAACAATAATCCCCCGAACGTTCTCGCCTCTTTCCAGCTATTTAACAGCTCTTTCTGCTTAAATCAGGCCACCGACAATTCTCTCCATGCTGAATATGAAGGTTTTCAACCCCCTTGGAGTGTGTCCCCCCCCCCCCCCATGCTTCTACTCAGACTTCATTTTCCATCAATCAGATCCACACAGAAGTTGGGAGGGGGTCAAGAAGAAAAATACTTCTTGGGGGACTGTGCAAGTACAGTATAACTGTAAGGTCACTCGAATAATCAACAAATATCTAGTTTTTAAAGATGGGGGGGAGATCACTCAACGTGCCTACCATCCCTGTCCTATTGTTTTATTTTTCTTATATGTATCCATGCATTCATATGTTTTTACTTATACCTATTATCTTGTAAGCAACTGACAAACCAAATAAATATTTGTCAATGTCTCCAGCCCCATTGTCAAATCCCCCAATTACCTATCACAGCCAACCTCAAGCCCACAGATTTTGGCGTACACCGGACCTGAAAAACCACCTACACAAATAACTGTTGTGCCTTAACATTCCCAACGCGTGCGCTGCATTTCATTGCCACCCTACCTTTACCCTCATGGAGGCACTGGTCTTACGGTTGGCACAACGCGAGGCCATCGCTTATTCTCCCGTCAGTTTCCGAACCCTATGTAAGCCAGCACATCTGGGAAGCAGATCTCGGACGAGACGATTTGCCTCAATCTCCAACCCTTATCTCGTATGCCACGCAAAGCGACTTTATCCCCACCCTCAAGAAGAACCTGTCTTCTCGTATCATGCAGCGAATCCATTAACTTGTGCCCAAAGCTACTTTCCTTCCACACACGTGCACCATCACGCTCATCAACTGACCGGACCAATACAGTAAGCGTTTAAAAAAAGACCGTTTTACGCCGAAGGCTACTTCCTTGCCAGCCTAGTTAGGGGATTCTAAATCTCCTCCACCCCACAAATGATAAAGTTCACGCTTTCCCCTCATAGCAAGGGGCCCAAACCAAGCACTCAGTGGTTCCTTTATCCCCCAGGCCAGAGACGGAGCCTGACTCTTCCAAAGGCCCCGAATCCTCCATGGGAGGGACCACTGCTCCCTTCTTCGCCCCTTTCCACACATTCTCCCTTGAGCATTCATTCCCTCCGTTCCGAACAACGACTTCGGCAAACGCCTTCCCCAGAGCCACATATGCCCTCTACCTAATGCCCCTATACCTAATCCCTGCCCCCAAACTCCTCCCGACCTCGAAAAGAGATGCTTTCACCCCAACCATTCCTCCCTTAGCAACACATATTTAAGGGAAAAGCCTGTCGCATCCCCTTACCTGGCGAGACTGTTTTCTCCAAGATAGTAATGAGTTCCATGGTGGCGGCAACGAGGTAAAACTAGGAAGGAAAGAGAGGAAACAACCGCCGACTCGCTCTCCGCCCGCTCAACTGACTCTCCCTTCGCGCGCTCTTTTTACTTCTCCCCCAGTGGCAAGGAGGCCCCACCCCCCACCCCACAGCGGAAGCTACTAGACTCTCCCCTACAACTTCCCCTCCCCCTCCTAACAACTCCTTGTGGGGGCGGGAGAAAGGAGGTGTAGGGAAAGGGTGCGCGCCCACTAAACAAGCGAAAACGAAATGATTTAGGGAGTGCGACTCAGACTGGGGGGAGGGAAATAAAATACAAAATAGCGTGCCTCCCGCACAACTGCCCTGAGGGGACGCTAATTCACTACCGTATTTTCTGGCGAATTAACTGAACAGGCCTTAGTCCGCCTTCAGGCACGTAACGTTCGTACGTATGCACCGTGCAAACGCACTCCACTTCCTGCTAAGACGGATGAAGTACCTACACCACTCCTTTTCAACCGGCCAACGCCCGCCATCCCCTTCTTTCCACGCTGGTTGGCCTTTGCGGCTCGTACGTCATGAGGCTGACAGGTCGAAAGGAACGCATGGTTTCAAAAACTTTGTCTTTAAATAATATGTGCAGTTAATGAAGGCAGCAACTTTATGCCCTTATACTAGGGAAGAGATCAATCAAGGTAATGGGAATTTGAGCACACAAACATAGTAAAACATTTCCAGCCTTTTCCTGATTGTGTAATGTCACTATTCTACATTGTTCTGGTGTTCATATTACTCTGCAAGGTATTTGGCAGGTTGATGTTCTGCAGTATTGTTTCTTCCAGAAAAAGGGACTAATTGATTTCTCCAGTCAGAGGAGTATATCTTTTTGCAAAAACCTAAACCAAAATGCCTAGCTATTAGGTAGTAGTTAGAAGCAGAAGTTATCCAATAAATAGTGATCTGACAATGTGACATATATACTGTATATAGTGTGAGATTTAAAATTCCCAACTAATTATATAAATAGAACACTAAGACAAGTCTCTGGTTCACAATTTCAAAGGTTTATTGTAGGAAAGAAAAGCAGTAGCAAGCGCAGCCTCCAAGACCCTTCCCAATTGGATTGAGTACAAGGAGAGCAAATTTCACTACTTTAACAATACATTTATATCCCTTCACAGAACATACCACGCCTAAAAAGCCCTCCCCTTACACCCCCTTATTTTCAAAATGCTAAACTACCAACTTGGGGTCATCATGACATTGTTTCTGTGTGTCCTAGAGGTAACTGTTGCAACTGTTAAGTGTCTCTGATCCCTTCAGATATTAATTTTAAATTGTTAAGAATTAAAAACAGAGAAATTGTCTTCTCCCAGTCTGGTCTGGCCAACTAGACTAGATGAAGAACAGAGTTCAATTTTCTTTCCCAAGGTTATTAGTGAATGTTCTAAGTTCATTTACAAGAAAAGTTTCATCCTTGCATTTACTGTGTGTTTAAATGATTTTACCTGGTCATCTTTTTCCTGAAGCTTGTGAATCCAGTTTTTTCCTTTCTCATCTGTTGTGTCTCCATTTTGTTGAAACTGATTTATCTGTTTAGTAACTGCAATACTGATGTGTTATTTTCTTCATCCTCAAACCATGCCTGCAAGCTACCCCCCACCCCCACCCCCCCAAAAAAATCTCTAATCCTTTTACAATGCCTTTCCTGGTAGAATTACCAGTGAAGGGGGGAGGGGACCCTTGTTCTTTGTCTTTCAGCCTTGCCACATGTGGAAGCAGATGCTGCCCCCTAGAGACATTCCATCCATTGGAGCCAGGAATTGGGTTTGGATCCAGCCTCCACTGAAAGTCATTACAGCAACCAGAGTGGGCAGACCTTCCCAAGCCTGACTGACCACCCATACCACCAGGCCAAGCCTATGCCACCCAGAGACATGAACGAAAGGACCCTGAGATGGACCAGTAAAAGACTAAAAGACTCTTTTCAAACCCCAGAAGAAAGTTAGAAAGATTATGGGGGGAGGGTAGAAATTCATTGTAACTGAAAATTCATTGTAATGTGAAATTCATTGTAATGTTTTCTTACTTGTATCATTTATATTGTAACCAGTTTGATGTACTCATGTAAGGATTGTATTTGAGAGTGGCTGGCCCAGCAAGTTCTGAACACCTTGTACTTCTGTCTGGTAGGAGGGAAAATTGTCCACGTTTGTATTATCTGTATTGTAAAACTAGCTGCATACACAGGCACATACAGAGAGACACACCATTTAGAATTAGATAGGTTATCCCTTTCACCTACATCCACACAAAGCTGCTCCTAGCTTCAATTTTAATGTGTTTTTTGTTTTGTTTTGGGTTTTTTTTTGTTTGCTGCTCTGAGGCACTAAGGCCCAAGCAGTCATATTGCCCTGCTAATTCCATGGGAGAGAGGGCATCTCCCTCAGGCAATTCCTGAAGAGATAGCAGAAAAGAGATCCCCAAGTCCTGACTGTGACTCACAAATGATGCTGCCCAGTTGCCCAGTAAAATAGGATATGTTGCACTGGTGGTCTCGTGAGTAGAAGTCCCAGTGCTCATTGTGTGTAACTTTAAAAACACTAAATAGCCTGGATTGCACACTGGTTAACCTCAATTTGGCCTCACAAACCCTGGAAGCTAAGAGCTAGGCAGGTGGTAACCATAACCTTGGAAATGGGCAGCCTGTAATTTAAAGGTTGTGAAGAATGTAGAGGCTTGTGCTTACAACCTGACTGTAAGCTCACAAAAGGTACATCAAACATCTGAAAATTAATTGGCATGAAAAATTGGATACTGTTTTAAAACAAAAAAAACCAGAAGTTTTCCCAGGCTGCTAGACCTTCATGGTTGAAAGCTTTTGGGAGCCACTGAAGGAATCCTTTTCTGTTGCCTTTTTTCAATGCCTTTCCTTTGCATCAGAAAAAAATTAAAAGCACCCATCAAGTCTCCCTGATCTGATCACCTTTTAATCTTTTGTCAAAACTCTCAAGTGTTTTGAAAAAAAAAAAAAGAGGGATTGTAGGAAGTTAGCACCCACCCCTCTCCTAGAAAATTGAAATAGCCTAGTAAATGTTAAAAAGGCAGAATATTTCCCCTAAAAAGAGTAGAAACTCAAGAAGCAGAAACTCACCTCAGAAGCAGAATCTCACTCCCACCTTTGTTAATGGGTGGGCCATTAAGGCCTGGGCCAGAATACTTAGCATAGCAAAAATCTTCAGGTAGGGCTATGGCAATTGCCAAAAGCCCTTTTAAGGGCATGGTCATCCAGCAAGGCTTAACCAAGCCTGGAACTCAGGACAGCCTACAGAGTTGCTCCTGGGAGTCTCACAACCAATTAGAATACAAGCTCCAATTCAAATCCCAACAGAGGGTATAAAACCCAGGCACTCTCAGCACCTCAGTCCTTTTTTTCTTGATCTCTTCTCATCTTGAAGCATGTGATCATCCTTCTCTGGAGCTCCAGGCTATGTGGTCCTGTCCACCATTAAACCTTCCAAGCAGCCTCCATGTTTCCAGTGTCTTTTTCCCCACTTGGAACTGAACCCAGGATATTTCTTTCAACAGTTTCCTGGGCCTCAATGTTTTACCTTCTATTTATTCCTGGGCTGCCAAGCTTTACCTCTGATGTATGTTCTTATTCTCCCTAGCCTGGTCAGAACTTCAGGGGTGGGTTTCTACTGGTTCTGCCCACCTCTGTAGATCCGGTAGCTCTGAAGAGCAGCAGACATAGAACCGGTTCTATGTCTGCTGATGTTTTTGCCCACCCGGGCTCTTACCTGATCTTTATTTCCTGATTTTTCAACTTCAGCTGCCCAATGAGGCACAGCTGCAGTTAAAAAACAAGAGGGCTGTTTCAAAGGCTGCTTCTGGGCATGCAGCGTGCTAATGATGATTAAGAGGGGCGCTGCTCACAGTGGGGAGGGAAGCTCCTAAATCCTGAACCGGTAGTTAACCTTGTCGTATGCCACCCCTGCAGATCTTCCTGTTGTTCTAACAATGTATCATGTCTTTGTGGAATGTATCCTCTATATGTGAATGACTGGGCCAGGATGTAACTTCTTTCAGTAGAAACAACAAAAGGGAGGGGGTTTTCTGCAAGGACAGAGAAAGCTGGCAAGGGCACATGAAAAAGGAATATAAGAAAAGAATATTCTAGGGGAGAAGGCGGAGCTTCGTTTTGGCGATACAGCTGTATCTCGGGGCTCTGAGATACAGCTGATATTTTCGCCCCCGGTCGGTCCCAATGGACCTAAACCGTCCCGTAG